TGATTGGCAGGTTACCTCTGATTTTTTTTCAAGAGTTAGATGCGATTTGGCGTCCACACACACTGGATTGCTTTGCGTCTTATTGCAATACAAAGGTGAAACGGTTTTTCTCCCGTATCTGGAACCCAGGTTGCACGGGTGTAGATGCATTTTTTCAGCAATGGACAGGAGAAAACTGTCTTGTAGTCCCGCCTGTAAACATTATTGCACAAGTCCTTAGTTATATGGAGTCACAGAAGTGTATAGGTACTTTGATAGTGCCTTCTTGGCCTTCTGCGATGTTCTGGCCGCTACTTTGGCAGCGTTATGAAAATAATATTCAAGAATATAGGTCTTACAAAGGGAATCGGTGTTGTATACATGGAAGGAACACGAAGTCCATATAGGAGCGTCCGACTGGAACGGCTACATTATTGCTGTTAGACTATCGTTTGTGTAACGATGTGAACATGATGGGATTTTATGCAAGTTGTGTGTAAAAATTAATGATAGTTGTGTGGACTTATTGTCCAGGCCGATGGGCCATAAAATAAGAGACGATAAAAGAATGATAAAAGAAAGCTGTTAACATAAAATAATAATAATAATAATAATGACAGTTGTGTGGAATTATTGTCCAGGCCGATGGGCCATAAAATAAGAGAAGATAAATGAATGATAAAAGAAAGCTGTTGCCATTAAAAAAAAAAACAAATATGACAGTTGTGTGGACTTTATGTATTTATTGTCCAGGCCGAAAGGCCATAAAATACGATAAGGTAAAAGAAAAGCTGTACACATGAAAAAAAAAAAGCTTAGGCCGAGAGGGCAATGTCCTTGGGCATGATCAATTAATACCGTATATTAATTGCATTTTTTTTTTGCGTCTCATTTTAGGTTTTATTACATTCTCACGTTTGGAAATTAGTCAGAAATTGATCTTAGATTGTTTTAGGTCCCGTGCGAGGGCTACAGTGAAGAAATATATTAAAATTGTTTTGTTCCTGCAATTCCAATCTCAAAGAGGGTTATCGGGTGTATTACCTGCCACAATAGTGCATTTGTGTTTGTATTTGTCGTTTCTCTTAGGTAAACAAAATGTCAGTGCAGCGTGCATGGCTTATGCTGCTCTTAAGTGGGTTCATGGGATATTGCCATTACCCCAAAATCCTTTAGCTGCTGACATATGTCGGAATATGATTGAAGTAGAAAAGACAAGCAGAACGAGTCCAGTGGTGCAGAAAGAACCAGCTTCTGTGGAATTGATTAAAGATATTGTTCGGAAGTACAGGCGTAAAGACGCTATACGTAAAGATTTGAGACTGGCAACTATGCGTGTTTTATCATTCGCAGGATTGTTCCGCGCAAAAGAACTTCTTAAAATTAGAGTACGGGATATCATGTGGTTTGACGATCATTTCGTCATTAATGTGCCAGAAAGCAAAACGGACATCTATAGACAAGGTCAGCAAGTGTTTATAGCAAGATTCAATGCTGAAACTTGTCCTGGTGTTTTAATAAACAGATACCTCGCGAAGGCGAACATCTTACTTAATGACAGTGAGGTTCATTTATTTAGGAACCTAGTCTATTTAAAATCAGTAGATAGTTACACTTTAGGAGAGAGAGTCTTGTCCTACATAAGATTCCGTGAGAATTTCAAAGAATGCCTTAAAGAGTTAGGCTATGATGAAAAGTTGTACGGATTGCATAGTTTCCGCGCTGGTGGTGCAACCACAATTGCTAAAAGTTTGACGGCTCCTAATAAAGAGAGATTGTTAAAACTACATGGACGGTGGAAAACAGACATTAGTAAAGACATTAGTACATTAAAGAAGATAAAGTAGAAAGGCTCATGGTTTCCAAAAGCATGGGTATATGAATGTAAATAAGTTTAACTGTGTGAATAAAGTCGAGTGTGGGTACTTGTTTGCCAAGACAAGCCTAGCCTATAATAACAAAACTAGTTTGGTTATTGTATTGTGTACAGAGGAATGGCGAATTAATAGGAAAATGCTTTTCATTCGGAGGAATAGCATGAGGGAGAATGAAACAACAATTCTTTTCGCATCAAACTCAATTCTGCTTCTCTTCTTTCGATATCTAGACGCTTATGTTTTACATTTCTTAAACTGTCCTTGTAGTTTTTACTTAAAATTGGTATTTTACTTATATATCTCCGCTGCTTATCGTCAATTTGCCCACATGCTTTCGACGCCATATTTACAATAAGCATGTAGAATGCAATTATATTATGTACAAAACCTTCCCTAGGGTACCCGGGTACATTGGCGCATCCATCCAATCTACATCGGCACGTCACTACCATTCGATATATGGCAGGCAACTCCTCCTTTTCTTTTCCCTGTAACCCGCCCGCCCATACACTACACAGGGGAACCGTACTGATCACTGAGCTTTGTGAATTGTGATACTGATGTGACAGAAATAACAGAGTTGCCTGCGGAGGAGGCTAGGTCTAGGCTGGGGCCTGACACAAAACCTATCTAAACCGTGGGACGCCCACATGTTATTTTTAGACACACTCATACAACATGATTGACAAGTGTTGTAGATTTCATTGCACGAAAATAAATACGAATAATATAAAGATCTTCATTTCATGTTGGATTATTTGTTTTTATATTCTCATGAACATGTCCGCAGAGTGTGCATTTTGCTTTTTAAACCTAAAAATTCAAGGTACTTTTAAGAGTTCAGTTTCTCTATTTAATTTAACCGAACAGCAAACAAAGATTTTAGTCAGTTCTGTGCAAGGACTGAATGCAAATAGTTTTGTTCTCTACTGCGATCTACTTTCCGCAATTGGAATTGAAGTGCGTCAAGAAAATACGCTAAAGTCATTTGTTTCATCATTAAACGGGGGATCTAAACAAACGGCTTGAATACCAAGCTTTCTCAAGGTCTCAACTTGCTGGACGCGGATATACAATTTCTGACGGGATAACAACAGCAATAACGAAATTCTTTATCGTACTATGACGAAGGCGATATAGCTCAGAAAACAACGCCGGTAGGACCTGATAAATAAGACTTTCGCCGAAGCCAGTTGGCAGAACGGCAAAGACATCTTGGGCCTTGGCTGTCAACAACAAGCTTTCGAATACATGACTTTTGCTGTTCTTTCAGCGTCGTGTGTCCAAACTTCGTCGAAGATTTTGATAAAGCCCTTTCAAAATACTGTGTGTTTGATTTATTTTCTGCCATAAAGCATATTAAACAAAAGAAATTCGAAGAAATTCGACAATACTATTACGATAATCACAATGGAATTTGATACATTTGACCTTGTCACATTGATCGAGCTGTTTATAAAATGTTGTTTATGTGAACTTGCAACCAATCAAAATCTTTCATGAAGCTGATCAACCAATCAGATTTCCCGTCCACCAGATGGACGGAAATCCCACGGTTTAGTTAGGATTTGTGTCAGGCCCTATTCTAAATTAGGGTCTGAACTTCAGGTTACTCCTCGTCATTCCTTCCTCCCAATACAACAATGACGTCATGCAAGATGACAGCTGAGGCACCATGCATCTTGTTTTTCAGTGAAGGTAAACTTTCACTTCGCCCTGTTTCAATGTGATACATGATGACGTCATTTAAAGCCTGGTAATTCTTATCCACCCCGCCGACAACAATGATCATATTGCCCCAAGTAACTGTGGACATTCCTAGGGCAGGCTCGGGTAAATTAATCTGGTTCTTGATGAAATCATACACAACAACGCTATCAATTAATGGCATCTTTACTCTTGCCGGTTGTCGATCCTCCCAAGATAAATAGCTTCCCGTTAGCAATTTGTGCTCCGTGGTCTCTTCTTGGCTGAGGCATTCTTGCGAGAAGCTTGACAGCATCAGGGGGGCAAGGGATAGTTCATAAATTGCATCGGATGGTTTGTTTTCATTCCAGTTATCTCCTGCTATGATATATAATTTATCTTGGTAAACTGTGACGTCATGAGCAGATAACTTGGGGGGCAGTTTACCATCAAACATCGTCCATCGCAAAGGATGCTGGTTCATCTTTAAAATCTCGATCAAATCAGTGCCATTTTGATCAACCCAACCTCCAGTCACGATGACGTCACCGTTGTAAACACATGATGCTGATTCTGCTCGAGCGAGATTCATTTCTGGTAGTTGAGTTGACTTGCCTTCTATTATGCAGTGGTGGCACCAGGCCTCCGAATTTGGGGGGGGGGGGCATTTGAGGGGCAAACTCATATTTTGGGGGGGCAAGATAGAATTTTGATCGCCCCCGGGGCCGATCCTAGGAATATCGCCTCCCCAGGGGGGGGGAATCCTGGAAACGTCGCCCCTCTTTAGGATATTCGCCCCCCATATATGCGATGTGGTTTATTCAAATAATTTCGTGATACTTTCATTTTATTAGTGCCTTACACGTTTGAGAATTTAACTCTGCAAAACTAAAGCTTTTTTATCTTTTTTTGAAACGTATTATTGGAGTATTTTACTATTCAGAGATTTACAAACTAATATTTAAACTGTAAAAAACAGTTTCATGCATACGCGCGTTCACTAATGAGTAATGACAACTTATAAGCCATACATTTTCCGATAACGACAAAACGCTTGTGTAGCCTTTAGTCGCTCTTAGTGACTAATAATTTATTTTTGAGGAGGGGGGGGGGGGCAAAATGGGGGGCAAATAATAATTTCTGGCGCCGCCACTGCTATTATGCTGTATTTTTCAACTATTTTCGATACACTTTTAGCTCCTGGGGCATTATAACCGCCTGTTGGCCACATCAACCTTGTTACAAGATGATCACAACTTGTTCCAGACTTGTCAACAACTGGGAACAAGCAGTGCGAACACAGACTCGTTCCCAGTCGCTTTTAAATATAAATACTTGTAGATCTTATATTATTTTATAACTCCTCTTTATTAGCGTTTCTTTTTTTGTATTGAACAATATTCAGGCAATTCTCAGGCGGTTGAAGACAAGTGTGGGCGCGCGGGCTGTGGCCAGAAGTGGGCGCATAGAGGCTCACGGGGAGGGCGAAAGAAAAAAATTAGCGACTGGCAGATTACTGCGATTTTTCTTGCAAAAAAGTGTTTTTCTTGCAAACTAATATTTTATGCTTCAAGTTTGAATTTTTTGACATTGGTACACATAAATAGATCATTTTATGAAGTAGTCTCTGCAAAGTGCGTATTTTTAGCAAGTATATCGGCCTTTAATTGGTCAAGTCTGGAGCACTTCAAAATGGCGCGCGGACTCTGATGAACTTAGATGGTGAGTGTAAAAGACAATATAATACATTCTACCACTTGTTGACCCTTTGAGCCGTAGCATAAATTTGCGTATACTAAAGAAATTAAGAAACTGGAATTCATTATATGCTCGGCTGTTTAGCGCCATGTTGCCTTGTTTCAAGTTGTAATTTTTGTCGTTCTGAACTATAGACTTCAATTTCATAAATTCAGATGAACGTCCTAAGACCAGCACTTCTAGAACTCCTAAAGCGAGAAAGTTACTGCATGCCATTTGACGTCAAACACGACCTAACACTAGATTCTAAGTGTTCGGGAACTAAATGAATTCTAAGAGAACTAAATGCAGGAAAGTTGTTCAAGGTTGGAACTTGTATTTTTAATAAGTCACTTCAAAAGTCCATCACTCATCAGCACAGTATCACTAATAAGATCTAGTAATTTAATTGTTTGAATGTGCAGGTGATGTTGGCACATTTGTTGCTGGAGATCTTCAGGGCTCTTTAAAGAATATATGCATCGAAAGAGATGGGGGAAAGAGTTAAACAAGAGGATGTTGTTGCTGACGATCTTAGTGCAAAAAGCCACCTTTCAAGAGCTTTGGCAGCCATATTTCCTAACTGTGAAAAGAAAAGGGTGTTGTGCGAACATAAACAATTAATATCTTCTTTTTACATGTGTAAAGGCTGATATGCATATGCAATACATGATAAATCCAATTCATTACATTGTATTACAAATGACATATTTTTATATTTGTCTGGTATATTGTTTTGGTTAATCTTCCTCAGGATGCTACTTGCCCCTCACTCACCTTCCACCCCTGAATTTTTCTGCATAATCCCCCCCCCCACCCCACCCCCACCACCATGCATAATCCGAAAATCTGTCTATGATGGTGATGATAACATATGAAAGTATAAAGCTTTATTAAGTTAATATAATACACATGCTCCCGGCCACTACATCATGTACACTAACTGTAATTACAATACATTTTAGTTTTAATTTTTTATTCACTGTTAATAATTTCATTGAAGAAGTCCAATTAAAATTGTTCAAAATTAATCCAGCTTTTGTGTCTTCAATTTCCATACATCGTGCTTGGTACTGCATTTTGCCACCCAGATCAGGATTAACCCTTTAAGTGGCAATGCACCCTGATATGCCCTACGTTATTATTTTACTCTGTCTAACACCAGACAATTTACTCATCAAGGGACAGTCTGTCACTCTAGGGCTTAATTGGGAAACCAGGGTGAGTCAGGAAAATTAAATTCACAATTGTGTGATACAGTGGTGTCCCAATTGTGAGATAATTCTGGAATAAACAAGAATATATTATATCATGTTTCGCTCGCTACTCTGGTTTAAATAAATGATTACAAAGCCCAGTCGAATTGTAATCAAGACCCAACGTTTCGACACTCCAGTCTAGTGTCTTCATCAGGGGTGATCTAAAACTGCGATCGTGGCTTCTTAAATACCCAAGGGATGACGTCACCTGCCAAGAAGATGCATATATTCTTCTGGCAAATAGGCGCCGTCATCCCTATTCAAAGCATGATGACTCATATTTATATGCCACGCTTCTAGGCAAAGTCTTTGACCATAGCGATTGTTTGTGGTAATTACTTTAGAGTTTTCCCACGCAATCTCGTGTTTGGTGTAACATACATGTTCGGCTAAAGCTGATTTTCCCTTGTCTAAAGTTGAAACAGCCTTTTGATGTTCTTTTAGCCGTGTACCAAACTGGCGTTTAGACTGACCCAAATACTCTTTATCGCAGTCACCGCATGGTATAGAATATATAGCATGAGTCTTCTGATATTTTTCAACAGGATCTTTTGGCTTTGCGAAAATATGGCCTAAGGTCAAATAGGGTTTTAAGGCAACCTTAATATTACAATTACTTAAGATTCTCTTGATTGGTTCTGTGACACCTTGAATGTATGGAACTATTGCAAAACCCTTAACAGAGGTATCACCCTCGGAGTTATTTTGGTTCCTACAAACAGGTGGTCTCAGGCAATCATTAAGAAAACGCTTTGGGTAATTGTTTCCCCCTAAAACATTTAGAACATATTCACGTTCATTAGCTTGAGAATCACTGTTTGACGGCAACGATTCAGCTCTTTGAAGCAAAGTTTTTGCTACGGATCTTTTATGGCTTACTGGGTGATGAGAGTCGTATGACAAGTATTTGTCTGTGTGTGTGGGTTTGCGATAAACATCAGTCTCTAACTTCCCTTCGACAGTTCTGTGTACATTCAAATCTAAAAAAGCTAAATGTCCATTTATTTCACGTTCTACCGTGAATTGGATGGACGGCTCAATAGAATTTAAATGTTGCAGCAGAATATCGATCTCATTTGTAGAAACCGCAGAGATGACATCATCGACGAAACGTTTCCAAAACGATAGGGACACCGGAACAGAGGCTAAAGCTCTTTGTTCGACATCTTCCATTACTAAATTAGCAATTACTGCCGAAACTGGTGACCCCATCGCTGTTCCAAAAACCTGTTGATAATAACAGCCCTCAAACACAAAGTATGTGGCGTTGAGACAAAAAGACAGAAGATCAATAATATCTTCTACAGGCAAGGATGTTCTTTGTAACAAAGTGGCATCCTGTCTTAGTCTTTTTGCCGCAACCTTGATGGCAAGATCAACTGGGATATTTGTAAACAAGGAAACGACATCAAATGATACCAACACTTGATCTGCTTTAAGAGTTTTACCTCTTACAAATTCTGCAAAATGACAGGAATTTTTGACAGTGTTTTCGGTATTTCCCACCACAGGGGACAAAATTTTCGCCAAAAAACTTGAAACTCCATATGTAGGAGAATTCACAAAGGACACAATAGGTCTCAATGGAATTTCCGGTTTATGGATTTTCGGTAAGCCATAGAAACGCGGAGATAGTCCATCACTGCTGTATAACTTTTCATATGTAGTCTTGCTGATAATATTGGATTTCTTCAAAAGAAGTAACTTGGCGTTTAAACCTCTTTGAGTCTTTCCAGTAGGATCAGACTTGAGAATAGAATACGTATTTCTGTCATTCAACAGTGAAAGAGCCTTCTCGCGATAATCATGTTTGTCCATAACAACAACGCAATTGCCTTTGTCCGCTGAAAGTATAACCCTGTCCGGATCTTTTTTAAGAGCAAGTAAAGCTTTGAAAACATTCGAATCAATGTTTTTTGGAGGTATTTTGGCACGTCTAAGAATGCTACTGACCTCAGCTCTTACCAATCGCTTAGCATCATCGTCTAGTGGAAAAATTCCTTCTTCCACTGAAGCAATGATTTCGGCTGTTGGAATTCTGTTAGGTACAACCGCAAATTTTAGGCCGTGTTCAAGACCCTTCCTTTCCAACTCACTTAGCTCTTTAGATGAGAGGTTTTTAACCCATCTCTTCTTAAGATTCGAACCTGATTTATCAGATGGTTTCGTTCCAATCAGACGCAGCAATTTTTTGTCATGCTTCTCTCTCTGTTTGATCGACTCTTTGCGAAATTGCGAACGACAAAACTCTTCGATCCATAGGACTTCAGAGCAGTCGATCAAATCAGAAAGCTCGCAGAGTAAACGTTGACAATCAGAGCGCAGACGCTGTATAGACTGATGACAATCGTTTATACGCAACCTCAGGAAAGAAAAACCAGTATTTTCCATTAGCTTGTATCCCTTTTTACTCCGTATTGGAGGTTTGAATCGCAAGCTGAACGGTAAAACTTTGTTTTCCTTGCACCGATGATTGAAATACAAATGACTACGATATTTGGCAATACGAATCTTCATGTTGACGAGCTTTCGAAGCCTCGAAACAACATTTTGACCATATTTTTCTCGTATAGATATAAAGTTTGTTCGTTCACTG